ATATTATATATTATATACCAGGGGTTAGTAATAACAAGGATGCAATAATGACCAAGATACTGCTACAAAAATGACAATGTACATGTGTATATATCAGGGTGTTAATAATGACAAATTGTTGACATTTGCAATTGACAATGTCATTATTTTATAATGATCGTTATTAATTATGTACATTTATATACATATTGAATATGTATACAGTAGGAGAGAGAGAGAGAGAGAGAGAGAGAGAGAGAGAGAGAGAGAGAGAGAGAGAGGTACCGAAATAACACTTCGTGTGCAAATTCAATATCTCGCACGTGGAGTTGGCATGCAACGCCGTTATTAACTACGCACTGCATTAATACACGCTACCGAACGAACCGGCGTACACGCACAAACGCACGCGCATGCGATCTCGCGCACATGCGCACGTACGAGCGTGCACGCGCCCACGTCAGTGTACGCGCAAAACACAGACAACGTTATGAGTTTCTTACATGCGAGTCGCAATTCGTAGCTAGGATATCACGTAATTGTACTCTCACCTCGATAATATTAGTCAGCGCGCAAAATATTGGACAAAAACGTATTTGCGTTTAACACAGCGGTCATACACACACACCTTGCTTTCTCTACACGTTGTATGCCATGTTACGTGAGTGTGGCTACCCCCCCCCCTCCCCACAACCACGGTAATAGGAGATGATGCTCTCGCACGCACAAAGCTTGCCATTGTATCACGACTTATAATGAGCGACCGCGGGCAGATGAACTCGCGTTACCATGACAACTAAACATCTATTTCTATCTACCATTGGTCATTTTTCCGCGGCGAGACACACCGAGCGCTCGTAAACCTCAATGGGCGCTAAGTGTCGGGGTCGAGAGAGTACGTAGATGTGTATATCACAAACATGCACGAGGAGCGTACAAAATATCAGGAGTTTAAGTGATGACGTCACGAATTTCTAGCACCATCAAGTAGTATATTTGTGTGTTATTTGTACAAAATAAAATGTATGAAAATACAATTAGTGTTTCTGTTTATATTTCATGCTTATGTACCTTCTTTATATGCCCTAATTTGCCGGTGAAAAACAGAGAGACGCCAGTATCTGAACAGTACTGGGGGAATAGTGTTAGATAACAGAAATTACGAAATCGTCTAGATTTTTGCAAATTTAACCAACGTAAAAACATTTTTAACAGGTGAGTGCTTGAGGATATATTAAGTAACGTTAGTTCTTACTTTTAATGTAAAAAAATAGGATTTATTTTTTTACAAATTTTACCGTGGAAAATTTGTGACGTAGTCAACTTAATGAAGCAAACATTTGTGACTGTCTTGTCTGCGACTGTCTTGTGGTGTTCAGACAAACAAAACATTGAAGATTTGTCTTCATTAACTCCTGATAATATGATGTTATTGTTCCGGCGATTGTGTGTTTCTGTTGTCAAGCTGAAGCCACTTACCGATTCAGGCGCTCTGTTTCACATAACACGAAAGCGCCTAGCTTGCTGGTATTGAGAGAAACAGTGAGGAAATGTAGGTATATATATTATCAGGAGTAGATAATAGAAGATTCTATCATCTTTAATGATCTTCTATTATCTACTCCTGATATTATGTATAATGTATATATATATATATAGTATGTATATATATGTATATGTATATATTATATATATATATGTGTGTGTGTGTTGTGTGAGTGTGTGTGTGCGCGCGCGCGCGCGTTGTTTGGGGTGTGTTGTTGTGTGTGTGGAGTGCGTGTGTGTGTGCGTTGCGTGCGGGCGTGCGTGTGCAGTATACATGCCTTGCGCGTCCGTGTGTAGGCTTGCCGTGACTGTGCCGTGCGTATTCGTTAGTCGTAAATTACAATTACATAAATGATTTCGTAATGATCTTCTGCTGGCATGTTTGACATGGGAACATGACCCGAAGTTCGCTGCGCCCTCGCAGCTATTACAGGACTGCTATTTTTATGCACAGTAGTATAGCTCACACACGGGTTAATGGTAATTCGACGTGTTTTCTGGCACACTCTAAGCATACTTAGTTGTCACGAACTTCACCGATATCAACCTGGCACGGTCCGCACACCCACACACACCGTACGCCACGCCGCACACGCACGCACGCACGCCAAACACAACACACACACACCCAAGATCAGACACGTACGTCACGCGAGCACAAACCACAACGCGGCGCCGCACACACAAGCGAACGACACATCAGACACGCAAGCAAAACACACACACGCACACACACAGCGCGCGCATACACCCACACAACGTCGCACGCACAACACCCACCCACACACATACACGTACGGCACGCAACACCCATACATACACACGCGCACCACACTACACGTTCTGCACGCGCGCCACACATCACACACCGTACGAACCACAACCATATATACACCTGCGCATCATATACACACGCAACGTCGTAGCCGCCACGCGCGCGCACACGGCACAACACTCTAGCGCACACCACCACACACACCGTCACGCCGACGGCACGCACGCCAACCACATCACACACAAACACACACACACGCTTGCAAACATCCTTTTCATACGTCTACTCTGTTATTCCGAGGCCTAGCCCCTCCTTCTCTCTGCTCGATGTCACACATGAAAGGTTACCCCTAAAAGCGGCCATGGTCACAAGCCTATAGTCACGACTCCCCAAGACGATACTGCCAGCTCCGTATATCTACCAGAACTGCGCACGTTAGCAGGCCTGTATGCTGTACGACCTAACCACGCACCACGGACAGAAGCATACGCTTCGGGGGAACCTTCTCTGAGTAACACATAGCAGTTGTTTCAGCCGCGGGTATCGCGTACGGTCGTTCGTGCCGACAGCATCTGTGGACGTCGCATCGCCGACGCATCTCGCGGGATCTCGCTAAACAGGACACGGCCGCCTCGCCACGATCCCGCGTAGAGGAGCGCACGAGGGCAAGCATAGAGAAAGAAGGGAACCACTTACGGCTGTACACCGCATAGAAGTTTTTATCCCTCTCTCACGCAGCAACAGTTAGTGCAAACATGGCCGCTTCGTGTTCAACCACAACCCCGAGTAGGACCCTGGCTGTAACCGCGTACCTGCTGCTGCTACTGCTACTGCTGGGCTACCTGCCGTGCTGCCACGCTCAAAACACCTGCATGTTTAAATTTAAGTTACCCTTGGCGGTCGGCGATGCGCTGAACAGTAACCTCATAGCGAGTCAGCTGCAGCGTGGAGGGATCACGGATGTGAACAGCTACGTTAATGGCCTTCAGCAACAGCTGCTGACGACCGATGCCCGACTAACGAGTGTCACCGCGCAGTACGATCGCCTCGCGACGACTTGTCGCGACACGCAGCAAGAGCTGGAAGCATGCAGCGCCGACGTGCAGAGGGGCGGAGCGCGGTGCGGGCCCGTGACGCAGACCCAGCAACAGCAGCAGCAGCGACTACTCGGTATATAACTCACTATATAATATAGTAACAACATCAAGAACTAATAATACATATAACATATATATTACATATATTATTAGTTCTTGGTGATGTCACTCACACGTAATATCAAGAACTATAAAAAATAGAGAAACACATATTACATATATATGATTAGGTTTTGGTGATATAAAGGCCCCCGCACACGGTACAAGAATGCCGAATGCGCACCGTGTGCGGGTTGGCGTGCGCCGAATGCGCGCGCAAAATATCTATCGTGTTTGCTTTTTCTGGCTCAGCGCCGTTGGCGCGCGCCGAACGCGCACCGTGTGCGGGGGGGCATTTACTCACTCGTAATATCATGAACATATATACATACTGTCCGTCGAAAGTAAGCACAAGTTTAAGAGTGACTAAAAACGATTTGCGTTTATTTACTCCTGATATGCACTATTTAAACTGCCAGCTAGGAGTGAATAAAAACACATTCACTTTTCACACTTTCATAATTAGTTTTTCGTTCACTCCTGAAATCATGCGACAACCTGTGCGCACAGGCCTGTACCACTTACGATTGTACTACTTATACGGATTAAGATATTAATTGGCGGACGTTATCTGTTATCATTTTACGCGTGAACTTATTTACATATATCAGTAAACACACACGCGCGTGTGCAGGCTTGTGCGCATGCGTCCCCGCGTGTCCGCGCGCTCATAATTATGAGGGTTAGCATCGAGATTGTTAGTAGTACATTAGATTTAGGATATTAATTACATAGATAATAGTTATATAGTTTTATACAGGTCAATGATCGACACCCTCAACAATAGTCTATGCAAGAAAACTATCTACTGCTACTATCGTATATATATATATATATATATATATATATATATATATATATATATATATATATACCCTGGCGGTAGAAGTTCGCGGGTTGGGTAAAAACATCGCCACCATGTCCGCGAGCGATTTTGCTGCTAATTACGTGTGCACGCAGTTTGCTGCTATTTGCCTTGCCCTCCACTGCAGCCTGCTAGTTAATAATAGAGGCAATATGTTGCCCATTTTAAATTCGAAGACAACGTAGGCAACGAATACCTAGAAACGTCACCCCGCCCCAACGAAATAATTAAGTCAGTAGACGCGAAGGAGTATAAATGCACAATATATAAAACATAGATATCATAGACGTACACGAAATCATACAAGTTGTAGCTACGGCGCTGTACACTCTCACGTCTACGCAGCATTCTGTTAAAGTTTCATTCGCGCTTTCTTTCTCTCTCTCTCTCTTTCCAACAGACGCCATTTTCAACCCATGCACTAATGGCGCGGAGCCTCTGCTGGCCGGCACGTCCCGCACGGAGAGAGTGACCTGCGACGCTCTCAGTAACCCGTGTCCGGACCCCTACCGCTGCGTCACCGTCACAGGAACTCTCAACACGAAGGTCGTCGAATTCAACTTCTGCTGCCCGCAGACGACCACGGCCGATCCTCGCGTCACCCAGCAACGCACCCCGTCACAAAATGGCGGGAGATCACCCCAGCAACCCACGTCGTCCAATCAGACGCCGGCGTTCCCTCCCGGGGACGCATGCGCACAGCCGGCGGACCCGGGCGGCTGCCCCGGCGCGCTGCTGCGATGGTTCTACAACAAGAACAGCAACCTGTGCGAAGAGATCATATACGGAGGCTGCGACGGTAACGACAACAACTTCCGCTCGTTCGCCGACTGCGAGCAACGCTGCGGCAGCCGCCAGGCCGACCCAGGTCATCTACGCGACCCCGGGTCACGGTGCAGCTCGGCGCCCGACCACGGCCCGTGTAACTTCAACTTCCATCGCTGGTATTTCGACCACCAGCGATCGCAGTGCAGTCAGTTCCTTTACGGTGGCTGTAGCGGGAACGACAATCGCTTCATCACGCAAGTGGAGTGCCAGAGAGCCTGTCAGCCATAGACGAACCTACCCCCCCCCACCGGTGGATAGAGAAAAGGAAAGATGAAGAGAAGGGTGGATAGAAAGAGAAGGGAAATGTGGAAGAAGAGCTAGAGGTCATGTGTAGCAGTGTTCTGCTCGCACGGGGGCGCGCGTGCGGCATGGCGTCACGTGTGGAAAGAGACGTGCGGATATTTTAACGTTAGCATGAAAAACGATAGTTTTTTACCGTCAGTCATGATTTTTTTTGGGTAGCTTGATGCGCGATTTCTTTCTGAATAGTAGCGCGAAAACGCTCATTTTTGTTTTTCTCTCCTTTTAGTTTTCTCCCTTGTTTTTGCTGCCTTGTGTTTTATGCGGATTTTTAAGCTTCTTCGTTTTTGGATTTAATATAGCAATTGACTACGGAAATTTTTAGTGAGAAATTGCAACGTTTGCGTAGACATGAACAAAGGTCCAAATAGCTACTGTGAAATGAGATTAAGGGTACCCCATCAGAATCCCCGCATATCACTCCTTATCTTCCGTCCTTCTCCACCATTCGTCCTCTAATAGCCTTGTCTTATAATACGATATCTTATGATACCATAGATGTATTCTGAAATTGGGTAGATTTGACTTGTTCTTATCAGAACCTGATCTTGTGATGCTATAGAATTTGCGACTGAAGGCATCTTTTTTATGGGAATAAGATAAATTTAGATGGTGAACACAGTAAAAACATGTACCGTTATAACAAAAATAACCTTCGCGAGCAATGACATGAGCAACTACATTCTTGTTCAACTTCTTCAGAAATACGTTAACTATGAAAAAACTTTCACAAAGACGTGAGCAAGAAAGAGGTGGGCATGGCGTTGATTATAAACAAGTGAAATACTTTTTAAAAGATGGGCATAGTATTGACTCTATACTAAATAACCCTTCATCCAACCTTTCCGAAACAATGTTAATAGCCTATGTTGTATGAATTCACAGGAACACATCCCATCTCATTCTCAAAGACACATTGCTATATGGATGCTTTTTAAATTCTGGGTATTGATATTTACAGACAGCTGAATACTGACTGACCTGTGTGTCAAGAACCTGCATCTATCTGCATTATAAACATATAACCTACATAGAATGTACGTAGAATATAGAGGAACATGTGTATACAGTGAGCATTAGTTACACAGAGTGATTGTGTGTGTGTGTGTGTGTGTGTGTGTGTGTGTGTGTGTGTGTGTGTGTGTGCGCGCGCGCGTGTGTGT